ATGTTTACTAACAGAAGGACTAATTTCATGGACAAACTGAAATGTTTACTAACAGAAGGACTAATTTCATGGACAAACTGAAATGTTTACTAACAGAAGGACTAATTTCATGGACAAACTGAAATGTTTACTAGCAGAAAGACTAGTTACTGCAGTAACAAACAATAGTGTAATTACAATATTATTCCACGCCACACAGAAAGTATCAATACTTGTTAAACACGAAACCCTTGACAGTACACATTACTTCTCGTCACACGTATGACAACAGGACTCACTACACGCTACACTTGACAGTACACATTACTTCTCGTCACACGTATGACAACAGGAATCACCACACGCTACACTTGACAGTACAGCTTCTCGTCATACATATGACAACAGGACTCACTACACGCTACACTTGACAGTACACATTACTTCTCGTCACACGTATGACAACAGGAATCACTACACGCTACACTTGACAGTACAGCTTCTCGTCATACATATGACAACAGGACTCACTACACGCTACACTTGACAGTACAGCTTCTCGTCATACATATCACAACATGACTCACTACACTATACTTGATAGTACACATTACTTCTCGTCACACGTATGACAACAGGACTCACTACACTATACTTGATAGTACACATTACTTCTCGTCACACGTATGACAACAGGACTCACTACACTCTATACTTGATAGTACATATTACTTCTCGTCACACGTATGACAACAGGACTCACTACACTATACTTGATAGTACACATTACTTCTAGTCACATGTATGACAACAGGGTTCACTACACTATACTTGACAGTACAGCTTCTCGTCACACGTATGACAACAGGACTCACTACACGCTACACTTGACAGTACACATTACTTCTCGTCATACATATGACAACAGGACTCACTACACTATACTTGACAGTACACATTACTTCTCGTCATACATATGACAACAGGACTCACTACACTATACTTGACAGTACACATTACTTCTCGTCATACATATGACAACAGGACTCACTACACACTACACTTGACAGTACACATTACTTCTCGTCATACATATGACAACAGGACTCACTACACTATACTTGATAGTACACATTACTTCTCGTCATACATATGACAACAGGACTCACTACACTATACTTGATAGTACACATTACTTCTCGTCATACATATGACAACAGGACTCACTACACTATACTTGACAGTACACATTACTTCTCGTCACACGTATGACAACAGGACTCACTACACTATACTTAATAGTACACATTACTTCTCGTCACACGTATGACAACAGGACTCACTACACTGTACTTGACAGTACACATTACTTCTCGTCACACGTATGACAACAGGACACACTACACTCTATACTTGACAGTACACATTACTTCTCGTCACACGTATGACAACAGGACTCACTACACTATACTTGACAGTACACATTACTTTTCGTCACACGTATGACAACAGGACTCACTACACTATACTTGACAGTACAGCTTCTCGTCACATGTATGACAACATGACTCAATACACGCTACACTTGACAGTACACATCACTTCTCGTCATACGTATGACAACAGGAGTCACTACACTATACCTGACAGTACAGCTTCTCGTTACACGTATGACAATAAGACTCACTACACTATACTTGATAGTACACATTACTTCTCGTCACACGTATGACAACAGGACTCACTACACTCTATACTTGACAGCGTTTCCACATACTTTAATTATAAACTTGTTTATGTTTATGTAACTTTTTTACTGTTGTATTACGCATGCGCAGTGTTCATTTAAATGTACATGATGGGGTGTTTAAACAATCATAACAACACATTACGATTATCAATAACTCCTGATCGAAGCAAGTCAACTACACAGATCACAACTAAAATTTATCTCTGTGATAATATAGCTAATTTAATATTCCGGTCAAAGAATAAGGGGTTATCCGACGGAACAGCGGAAAGTCTACGGACTTACAGCGCTAAAATCTGGGGTTTGTCTCCCGTGATAGATACAGCAGATAGTCCATTGTGGCTTTGCCCTAAAACAAACAAAAACTAAGGGATTATTAACAAATTACGTAACGCTCACTCACCCTACATGTAATACTATGTAACACCCCTAATTCATGACGTAACACTTACAGATAAGCTCCCCCCTTAACTCAGACCCTGTAAGTGTAATTATTTTTTGAATAATATATAGATAAAGCTTCCTTAATAAACCAAGTAAACATTAATTATACTGTTAATGATGGCAGCCTT